ATAAAAACTCACTCTCATCATATTGTTTTACAAACGCGCCAAAAGAAGTACTTATACGGCAATACCGGGCCAAAGTTGTTATGTTGACTTCTGCTAGTAACAAGCGAAAAATTTCAAATAGCCCTCATGGCTAGAAGCGAGTATAAAACGAGTTGAACGGTCCGTTCACGTGCCTACATACAGGTCAAACCAATAGAAACACGATAAAAGTCGATTTCGCCAACCGACACTATCTAATCGAATGCGGGTTGGAAATGTTTAAACGATAAGATAACTGCCCGACGAACTATCGAGATGACCTTTAAACGGGGATATATTTCGGCACGCACCATGATGGCTCAGGTTCGGGCGTTTGCTTCTAATTCAGTATAATCGAGCAGCCCGAGTTCAATCCCCGGGATCGGCACGAATCGTTCATTTTTCATTGTTGACCTATCACGTGCTCCGCGCTGAAGGTAAACATCGTGGAGCATCCTGCGTATTTCCGAAGTACCTAATTATAAAAAAATACTTCAAAGGCATGTTAAGTTTGCAACCATATTAAAAATCGATACTGCCTAAACTTCAAAAAAGCAGTATTCATTTAAATATGGTTTGCTTATTAAATTTTAAAATTCTACTATTCGAAATACTGCAATTCATTAAAAATGCGAATAAAATTCTTAAGCAACAATTTCTAAGCGTAGAGATGGGTAATAAATTATGAGACGGACTCTGAAAAAATATATTTTAAGCCGGCCCATAACTATGCAACGAGTGACCTCACATTTTTCTTCAAGGAATTCATTACTTGACCTCATTTCGAAACTTAATGGACATAAATAAAGATGCGAACAATGAACACACTTCATTTAAAACTGTTGTCTATAAGAGCATATTTGTGAATAAATATAGTGAATATAATTATGACGTATACAAAAGTACGAGTATGTGTATTAATTCCGTCATTATTATAAGTATATTATTCCCTTTGCTTTTACAACTATCACTGCCTTAGTCATTCTCTTTCTATCTTACCTAGGTGTAGCTGGTAGAGAATGCAGTATAGCTCGACTTTTTACAATTTTTAGTGTATAGTATCGTATCAGCCTATACGTGTCCCACTGCTGGGTACAGACCTCCTCTGGTCAGAGGGTGTAATCTTACGGTTGTAGGGCCACGCAGCAGCCTCGGCTGTTGCACGAATGGGCAGGCCCGTCCGGGTAAGTACCACGACCTCACAGAAGACCAGCGTAAAGTGGAAGTATGACAAATACTTTCGCGTTTCGTCTGGTCATTGAGGTAGCCGGAGCCCAATTTTCAAAAGGTTTCAACGCATCTGTAGCCCTCGGGTGTAGCAGATGTCCATGGGCGGCGGTATTCACTTAACATCAGGTGACCCGTCTGCTTTTCGCGTTAAAATAAAAAAGGTATCAGGGCATACTTCACATATCTTCGAATTTTTTATTATCACTTAAAATTAACAATTTCATTGATGCTGGCACCGGGGATCGAACTCAGGTTGCTCGAGTATATTGAATTAAAGGCGAACGCCCGGCCACTGAGCTATCACGGCTTATTTTTAGTGTAATAAAGAGCCGTGATAGCTCAGTGTCCGGGCGCTCGCCTTTAATTCAATATACTCGAGCAACCTGAGTTCGATCCCCGGTGCCGGCACCAATGAAGTTTTTAAGTGCTGACTTATCACGTGCTCCGCGGTGAAGGAAAACATCGTGAGGAAACCTGCATATTTTCGAAATAATAACAAATAAAAATATTTCGAAGATATGTGAAGTCCGCCAATCCGCAGTGGGGCCGCGTGGTGGACTATGCCCTGATACCCTCTGTATAGAGGAGGCCTTTGCCCAGCAGTGGGACATGTATAGGCTGTTACTTTTACTTTTTTTTAAAGATTAAATAAATTAATAAATAAAGTGTTGCTTTGTCCAACAAGAGATGTCATGACAGTAAAGCATTCGGCAAGCTACGAAGCAAATTATGAAATTAAACGGTACTGAGTCGTTTATACAATACTTAAGAATCCCACGTAACCTTGTATTGTGGGTTACGTGGGATTCTTACTCACTAACGCCCCCACTGTACGTTGGGAAGGTCTCCGAGATCTCCTACTGAGCCCCTTGTACTAAGCAACAAAAAGAACGCTTCGGAGAAGACCCTTCCCCAATTCGCCCTAAGCTTTGCGAGCAACAAGATACCACTTCGTGTTGCCACCCCTATCACATCCACTGGATGACCAGGCCTTCCTCCGTTCATAAACCTAGTGACCTTAGCCATATAACACAGGGCTGCACCTTCATGCCAGTCTCCAGTAATTACGTCATACTTCCTGCCGCCACGTGGTTAAAACGGCACATGAACGTAGCACAGCTGAACGGGAAACTAAAACGGTTGCTTCGCCGTGCTCTATTACACAACGAAACTGATACTTACAATTTATAAACTGCCCAATTTGTTAGCGCGATCCGTTCGCGAGGGCCTTGGGCGACCATTAGGGCGGATTAGTGGGATCGCGTTTCGAGAGTTTGGCGGAGCGTTCCGTTGCCATTGCGACGGTTCAAATCATAGACAGTAACATGAACTCTATTTTGGCACTCTAACTGAACTTACTTGGCTAAAAAGTCTTGTTACCAGGCCAAAAAATCAAAAAAAACAGCGCTTACCATAGAAAAAAATTAAACATTACACAACTGAAATTGAAAAATAAAATCAAACCATATCATCAAGGCTAATTTATTAAAAAAAATATGTTATTACACAAATTAAAAAAATTAAAAATAGAAACCAATCAAAATGAAAAAATTAATCACCGCAAGGTACGAGGGCAAAGTATGTTTAGTACACGCACATACGTGAGATAAGATTTAACTAAATAAACTGCCATTCATAATTTTATTTGCGTAAGGATTAATATTATGTATAATATATGTATGAAACGACAATCAATCTACAGAAACTGAGAGACTTTTAATTATGTAGTTCAGTTTTCATTATTTTAGCAAAAGCCGAAATAATTACAGAAAGGCATCCTGTACCGTTATTTTGCCGATAATTACCATATAAAGATATTATTATTACACATTTCATTGTTATTTAATGTTGTTGTAAACAATTCCTGAGACCTATAAATGACCTATGCTTCAGACAAGAAATAGACCAATCACGGTTCAGAATATCTTCGTGCATAGCCAGGGCACAAAATCACGCTGTAAAAATATCTAGAAACCTTTCCTTAACCACTTTATACCGTTCGTACAATCATGAAATCTTATATTAATGCAGCGTAATCCCCTGGGGTATTAGTATGATAAAAAGATAGGCGACATATAATCCATACTTATATAACAAAGTCGTAATCTCGTTTATTTGTGTGTATACAATAATAATCTTTGGAATATTTTTGCACTTCTACACGCAACATTATCTCCCGTAGAAATCTCTACATTAGGATAAAACTGTTGGACGAATTTCAAAGTCGCAAACTTTGGTTAATATTATGATCTGAACATCCATTAACACACAAATGTCCCGGAAGAATCCCGAGAAATCATGGTGCACCTTGGCTTAAGCAAGACAGTAGCAGAGTTTAATTATTTTAATATATACAACGGCGTTGCCGGGCAACCGGACAGGCGACCACGGATGCGGCGGTGAGCGTTGTTGCGTCACGTTTGTAACTATGACAGCAATTCAGGAACGTTCGAGAATATTAAACATCTCTCGTACAGTCGGATGCATTATTTTACGCATTTTCAACTGTCTTCAAAAAAGGAGGATGTTCGCAATTCGACTGTGTTTTTTTTAAGTTCGTTACCTCAGAACTTTCGACTGTGTAGAACGATTTTGATGATACTAAAATATTTTTGAAGTAAAACTTCTTTAGGCGCGACTAGGGAGTAACTTAGATTTTTTCTGACGGAAGTAAACCTTTTTCTGACGGAAGTAACGTCATAAGTATATGTCATATTTTTAAAATGTGACATATACTTATGACTTTACTAAATATTTAATCATTTCAGTGGTATATGCCGTCTAAGCCAAAGAAGTTTTACTTCAATCGCGCGTAAAGGTTACACGCACACACTTTTTTTTTGAAAGCTGGTGCTTCCCATGTGGTCCCATATTAATTTCATTGGTATTGGATGATGGGCTCCGGAGATACTTAGGGAAGTCCTGAAAATCAATTATAAAATGAATACAGAGCAAGATATTTGAAGCGGGTTTTGTTTTTCGTTAATAAAAAAAAATACTTATATCACTTTTAAAAGAGTTGCACCGTTTGAAAGAAATGACATTTTAACACAATGTTTTAATAAAGATGACGGGTTTTCATACTGCGCGACGTTTAAAAATTGTTCCGTTTTACATTATATGACATATATAAGTGAATGTGAGAGATGTCATAGAACGTATAGCGAACGTAAAAGAGATAGCTGTCTATAGAATAACATTCTTATTACACCAATTACCGTAATTTTAGAGGCCCGTCCTAGTTTCGGTGCGCTAATGTCATATCTACCTCGCATTTGTATCGACACAAAGCAAATTAGACGATTTCCGTTCGTTTTTGTTCCGCACGAAACGTACACATTTATCAGCCGTCCTTGATTGGCCTGGCAACACGGCTATCTTTTTACTTACGATGAAATAACATTTTATCGAAGGCGAGTTGTATAAAACACGCTATGCGACCTACTGGGCGGACGCGGTTGACCAATAACTGAGGGCGATGGTCGAGATGTATTCATGATTATTTATCGGAGATACGGGTCAGTGTGGTCTTTGTGTTTTTTTAACAAGCTCCTTAAAATTAAAATTTGTAGAAAAAGTACGAAAAGATTGTCGCCGTTGAGGGAATCAAACCCACGACTTCGGCATTCGCGGCCTGACGCTTTAGCCACTAAGCTAAAATTAACACTATAAAAATAAATTAAAAGCCCCTTAAAAAGTTACCACTTTAGCATTATAGTGTGTGAATTTTACTTCAACAGTGAGATGTAGTAATGGTTCGGGATATCGAGGACGTCGTGGGTTCGAAACGTGATACCCAGAGTTTCCACGGCTTCATATTTGTGTCCTATTTACGACGACCCTACCGCCTGCCAGGCGATAAGGTCGTCGCCCTTAATCGGCTTGATTTAGGCAGCACTGACGAGCACCAGGATACTGCATTGATTACTGTGGTAGGGCCACGCTTCTGCTGTTGCACCAATGAGCAGTGTCATTGAGGGGGAATTGCCACGGCCCCACGGTGGTAGGGCCACGGAACAGCCCCGGCTGTTGCACGAATGGGCAGGCCCGTCCGGGTAAGTACCAGATAAGCAGATGTCCATGGGCGGCGGTATTCACTTACCATCAGGTGAACCGTCTGCTCGTTTGGCAACTTTTCACATAAAAAAAAACAAGATCAGATACTTCCTCGTGTCGTCTGGTGAGTGAAGTAACCGGCGCCCACTTTTCAACAAACTGTAAACGCATCGACGTGTTATAGATGTCCATTAACGGCGCAGTTCACTTAACATCAATTGAACCGCCTGCTGGTTTGAAAATTTTTCACGTAAAAAAAGTATTGCAGACACGAGTGCTTCTCGCTTGCAGCAACGCCTAGATAAAGGCGACATCCAATCGGGGTCATCTGTAAACCAAGACGGGACGGGTCTAGTTCCCGAACGCTCATTAGCCCGTGACCCTAGTGTAAAAACACCCCAAACTGAGGCTGCGGTTAAGATAGCGATGTACGCCGATGATCGATCATCGACAGCACGACACGACACGTCTCACTAAAAACGCCGCACGCGGCCACAGAGGCGGCGGAAGCGGTTTCTTTAACGAAGGACGAAATGCAGGACTGTTCATTATATATAAGTAGAGTGCTGAGTATTTCTGAGCAGTGAACACATGCAAGTCAGATAAGTTTTAAGGATAAAAAATAAAATATGGAGTAAAATATATTATAAATTAGCAAACTATTCTACAGAAACTGAAAGTTAACTGATAAAATTATCGATTGATAGTAATCCCTAAAAGATGTATTGTAATTTTAAATATATCGACATCATCACTAACGTACCTTAATTAAAACGATCGTGCACAGCAAATATCGATCTGTTAATGTGTGCTGCTGGTTAATATAATGTAGAGCCTACTGCTACCTTAAAGGCCGGCAACGCAATCGCGACTCAACTGATGTTGCGAATGTACATGGGCGGCGGTAATCGCTTATCGTCAGGGGATCCGCTTGCTCGTTTGCCTTGAATTTCTACAAAAAAAAATAAAAAAAAAACTGTATACAGCACAAACGTCCGCCGCAAACGTTTACTCTCCCGCTAAGAGCATAAGCTTAGCGAGTCGCCGCCTCCCGTGGCTGTGCCGCAGCCGCCCGAGGATCGAATTCCCCAACTGTAGACCGGTTCCGTTTCCCACAGTCCGCATCAGCCCCCTGTCGAAGATGCCTAAGAGCCGGCGCGCCGGGCGACGCGCTCGGCCGTCCAAACGCTATTCGGGCCGATCGAGATCTGTTCTTGCTACGATAGATGAGACACAGAGAACACTCTGTCTCGATCGACCGACAGCATTAATAGTGACAAGTGAACATCGATTTGTCTATTTTTTAAATTTGTTTTTAATTAGGCACTGAACAATTCTTTGTCCAAGCCCTATGCGTTCCGATACGGATAGCGATGAAATATTGCCTTGACATATTACACCTTGTGGGAATGCCCCGTGAAAATATCAAGAAATGAAGTAGACGAGCATACAGATGTGACTCATTTATAATAGAAGGTGAAATTTATGTTATTTAACTCTTAACTGATTTTATGTTTATATTATGGGATATAAAACTTCACTTAATAATATCATGTGTGTAAAAGCAAAGCTACAGCACATCACTACACAAAGCATCCGAAAGACGCAGGTGTGAATCCCGCATCGCCGAAAGTTTATGTCCATATCTACAAAAATTTCACTTTTTAAAAATACACCGTTGTCATTTATCAATAAAAATATTCACCCCTATTACGGAACAAGACTGATAATGGTGTTTAAATTTTGCGTTTTATAATAGCAAATTAAAAACAAGGACGAACATCCAAGTCCCGTACAATTGTCTGTAAAGTATCAGCCTACACCTGTCCCACAGCTGGGCAAAGGCCTCTTCTGTACAGAGGGTATCAGGGCATAGGTCCCACGCACCACGCGGCCCCACGGCGGATTGGCGGACTTCACATATCTTCGAAAAATTTGTTTTTTGTTATTACTTCACATATTTTCGAAATATAATATCTTTTTTTGTTATTATTTCGAAAATATGCAGGTTTCCTCACGATATTTTCCTTCACCGTGGCCCACGTGATAAGTCAGCACTTAAAGTTAAAAACTTCATTGGTGCCGGCACTGGGGATCGAACTCAGGTTGCTCGAGTATATTGAATTAAAGGCGAGCGCCCGGACACTGAGCTATCACGGCTCTACAATTGTCTGTACGTCATACCAATACTTTGCTGGGCGGGAATCGTACCCACATCTGTCACTTAGCAACTACGTTATCCTATTCACTTACATGACATACTTTAGCCGATTAACTAAGCTGTACTGAGATGCCTATGCCTCCGCCGCAATAGAAAACATGTACGAAAGGTTGATTTACGTTAACTTACGGATATAATTAGTAAATGACCACTAGCGATAGCGGCCGGAATTAATGGGAGCGATTCTTTACCGATAATGTCACACTACAAATAAAACGAGAGTTGATTAATAGGGGACCGTCTTTAGATCGAGCCGAGAGAACGAATTTGTAAAAGGGATCGGTTAAGCAATAATGTGACAGGCCTTCGCTTGTTTCACTTTATGGTTTAGACAGAGACAGCAAGTGTCGTGGCGTTTCGTCGAGATTTAACAAGCTACCTTACATGACAGTGATCCCATTGACATGGTACCTTACAGAACCATTACTAATAGACTAACAGGAAAGCAATGTAGTATCGCATTTACAACTAGTCCCGATCAGTATTCAAATTCAACTACAAAATTTCTACCCAACAGACAGACAAATGGTATTATTTATAACATGAGTTAAACGAGCTCGAGCTATTCGAGCTATGGAAGTTCTGGAAACAACGTTTTTTTTTTTCATTATTTGGGGTAAATGCATACACTGTACGAGGGAAACGTAAAATACTCAAAAAATAAAGAAAAATGCCTTCATTTAAATCAACAATCACTCTAAGGTCTTATGAAATCATCTATACTAATCTCCTCAGAGTTGATTCTACTAAATTAGAGGGTACAAATAAAAAAGAAAGAAAGAAATTCTTCAATCTTGGCGTAGTGCTGCAAGAGTACTAAATATAGGGTAAAAATAAAATAAAAAACAAAGAAATTCTTCCGCCTAGGCGAGGTCGTGTATAGGATAATGTTATTGCAGAGTGATGGTTTTAAACTAAATAAATAAACGAAATACAGAAGAAAGTAAATTTCGTTTCCGTCTCACAATATCCCATACCGGGATATTTCATACAGTTAAACATAAAAAAGATTGAACGAACGATATTCTTCGGTCTGAGCGTGCGTAAAATTCCGATGCGTGCAACTTCGTACGCGGCCACTTCACAAGACTCATCCCAAGGCTAAGTATTTTTAGCATCTCAGCGGTGACACAAAACCGATCCGAGCGTCAAAACAAACCTAATCTTTATATATATAACTAGCGTCCAACCCCGGATTCGCATAGATGCAATGAAAAAAATAACCGCATCAAGATCCGTTGCGTAGTTTCAAAGATCTAAGCATACCTAGGGACAGACAGACAACGGACGACTTTGTTTTTTACTATTTTGTGTATTCTTCTGTGCGAGTATAAGACTGAACTCCCCCTAAACGCTTAGAAAAAAATTGATGTAATTTTCAAGTGGATTCGAGAATGGTTTCATCATCATCATCATTTCAGCCTGTTTGAGTCCACTGCTGAACATAGGCCTCCCCCATAGACTGCCACGAAGTACGATCCTGAGCCACCTGCATCCATCGACTTCCCGCACATTTGCACAGGTCGTCACTCCATCTAGTGGGGGGTCGTCCCACACTGCGATGGCCAGTACGAGGCTGCCACTCGAGAACCTTTCTTCCCCAACGGTTATCGGTTCTAGGAGCTATATGGACGGCCCATCGCCACTTCAGCTTGCTAATCCTCTGAGCTATGTCGGTTATCTTAGTTCTACTGCGGATGTCTTCGTTACGAACTCTATCACGCAGAGAAATACCTCGCTGTAATAGCTCGCTGAGCGACTTTGAGCTTCCTCATACGGCCAGCAGTGAAGGACCACGTCTCGGTTCCGTAGGTCATCAATGAGAATGGTTTAAACTCACAAAATTTATTCGAAAAGATTTGAAATTTTCGTATTCAAAATGTCAAAAAGGACAACGTCTGTTGGGTTCGGTAGTATCCTTTATACATAGGGTACAGTGGATAGATTCTTTAGAGAAAAGAGCTTATTGTGATTAACTAGTGGCAATCATAGAATAGGCACTAGAGTTAGTGTCCCGGGACTATTTTATAATCTCGTAGGTGCTGGGGGTCGTGGGTTCAATTCTCACACGGGACAAGTATTTATGTGACCCACGGATAACTGTTCCAGAGTTCTATATATAGAGGTCTTACCGTTTCTTCTTTCTGAAACGTCGGAATTCACTTTTTCACCTGCAATGTAACTAGCAAATCTAATAAAAATACTCTCTCTCTCTCATAAAAAAATACACATTTACTTAATATGTTGATTATTTGTAGTCGAAGTCGTGAATTTCATATTTTCTTGTTTATTTATATGAAAATTAATTTACTGTTGTTCTAACTAATGTTACTACCAACATTAAATAAGAAGACTGAAGTAGCTAACACGCTTTATGCCGGAACAAGTTTTAGTGTTACCATATGTACACGTAAAGTTACGAAACGGAGATTATAATTAATGCGGACTATTAATGGCAGGAAAACGACGACAACGGAAACGGAAATGTGACACAGATTCGATTTCCAATGCGACGTAATAATTTATGCCTAAAATCGTCTTTACATGTCGGAGTATTATATAGGTTATCCGAAGATACATATCGTCGTTCCCCATTTATAACGGTAGCCATTTTCACTTATATGCACCTATGTATCACATTTCACAGCTGAATCTCTGATAAACACAATCTATTATATTATCGTTATCATTAAAACATTTTATAGTCTAGTAATATTAGACAATAGCTAGAATTATACGTTTACGGAGCTCTAAGATTTTTGTTTTCCTTTTAAAATGAAAATTAGATTCTTTTTAAAGAGAAAGATTAAAGGTTTACCTGATGTTAAGTGATAGCCGCCGCCCATGGAACCAACAAAATCTAACAAAACCTACAATGGCAGCAGATGTATTGACGTCTTTTATTAAATGGGCCCCGGTCACTTCACTCACCAGACGAAACGCAGAAGCGGGGAAGTACCCCTGCCTCGGTAGTTCCCCGAACGAACCTGGATATTCGTGCAACAGCGAAGACTACACCGAACAGTGGAAACACGGCCTAAAGAAGCGTCTGTGGGTTAAATAAAAACGGAGGTATGGCCACGCAGCATCAGCCGTTGCACGAATGGACAGGCTCGTCCGGATAAGTACCACGAGCTCACAAAAGGCCTTCATAAAGTGGAAGTATTACAAATACTTTCGCGTTTCGTCTGGTGAGTGAGGTAGCCGGAGCCCAATCTTCAAAAGGTTGTCAACGCATCTGCAACCCTCGGGTGTAGCAGATGTCCATGGGCGGTGGTATTCACTTAACATCAGGTGCACCGCCTGCTCGCTTAGCAACATCTCATATAAAAAAAACAAGGAGAAAAATTCAAATTTGTCAAGTTGTTACCCATATTCCAGTTAAAGCGGTAGTCAAATATTTCCCTAGCGCATTACCAACTAGATGTTTTAATCGACCCATCCCTTCAGATGCTAATTAAGAACCATCTATTTGAGTGGGGGGCGAAATTCGCGAAGTGAGTTAAGTCGAGATGCAGATCAATATTGTTATAATTAGTAGTCAAAATTATAACTGGAACAAAATCCGGTTGAACGGTTATTTTCGACGTGGAAACCGTGCATTGTCGTGAACAATTAAGGACCACTGCGGGAAAGAAACCGGGGATCAGGTCGCGAAGAATCAAACGGCAATCTAAAAGGCTATTAGAATCCCAAACATCGAACGAACGAACCTTTCAATCAATATCGCCCTTACCTCTACGGTTGCTTAATAAAAACTGAAAAAAAAACTAAAAAACTAAAAAAAATAAAACTGCGAGTATTAAGACGACCGCGCAGGGATCCCGTCCAGCCGCAACTTGTGCTATGCACAGACGAATATAGCACAGTGTATAAGGCGCGAAGACGGCCGGTTTTGGAGTTTAATTAACTAAACGCGTCTGAGTTCGAAATTGGTAACGTCAGGTGAATGTTTATGGTGAACGGCCGCGTTAGCCGCGAATTACAGATCAGAGGTGCGGC